TCTTTCCCTCCCTCTCTGTTTCTGGCATGCACATGTGCCCTATGACAAAAATTTAAAATCATAATAATAATAAAATAAATATTCAGTCTTGGAGCCTTCCTGTTGCCTGATGCCCAACACATTTTAGGCAGAGAAACAGATGTAAAGGAAGTAATTCGGATCAGTGGGCAAAAAGTCTAGGGTCTAGTTCCAAGTCTGCCAGTGTCTCACTGTGATCATGGGAAAACAGCTTTCCTTCTCCGGACCTGTTTCCTCAACTGTAAAATTAAGGGATTGTGTTGCATAATTCCTCAGGGTCCTGCTAAGTCTCAACTTCTAGGTTCCCAAAGAAATTCACTAGAATTACCAGTAGATGGTCTAATTTGGTCTAGATCCAAATGGTACCAAGATGTGTGTGGCATCATGTGGGAGATGAAGGACCTTATGGATGAGGGGAGACCTCTTGGAGATGGTGATGTATACATTTACGCTTCAATAATGGAGAGTTGGAGCAGTGCTGAGGAACGAGCTGGCTGGAAGAAAGTGGGTGTCCTAAAATGGCGCCAACCTCAACCCCACAGAGAACTCCAAGCCTAAATCTGCTCTTCCTCCTGAATTTCCTCCTTGATGAATCCTAATCCAATTCACCACTAAAACTTTGACAAGGTAAAGAAAAAAAAATCTAGGATAATTACCGAAAATTGTCTACCAGCGTGTGATCAGAAAGATAATTTTGAAAGCACAAGAATCTGTCCAAAAATAAAGTGGCAACAGAATGGCAACACTACTGAAAGTCTTCGTTTTGGAATGTTGCTTTTCAACTCACTGTCTCGGCCAATAATTTCTACTAGGACGTTAGTAGATACTAGTCTGTGCGTTTCCTCACACAGACTGACGCCGCTTCCACTCCGCTGCCCCCTAGAGGAGAGGGCCGCTCCGTTGTGTTACGTCACTTCCGCTTCCTGCCGCGCGCGCGGCCATTTCCGCAGCTTCTTCCAAGCGGCTTTTCGGCAGTGGCGAGCGTTCCTGCTCTGACGTCAGCGGCTCTCCTTGAGGGTGACGAGCTCGCGGAACCGCAGCCATGGTGAGTGCGTGCGCGGGCCGAAGGATTCAGGGTTCCATTTACTCGCTAGGCTGTCGGAGACTGCGGACGCGCGCCGCCTCGGGGTCCGGGCACGGGGTCCCAGCCGCCCGACCCCGAGTTAGAGCTCCGGCTCCCAGCATTCCGGCCCGAGGTTAGCACTCAGGCAGCCTCAGGGTCCCAGCCGCTGTAATCGGGGGCATTTCGCAGCAGTTGGTTCACGTGGCCGAAGGCCTCGAGTGAACCGAGGGGGCATGTCTCAGCCTTGGCGAATGAGACCTACCCACGTGGGAGAGGACAGAAAGTTGGGTGAAAAACCTGGCTCTATTTTTTTTCTTTTTTCTTTTTTCTTTTTTGCACTTCCTGGAGGATGGTTTGGAACCCTAGGATTCGGATCAACCTCTCCTTCCACCCCACCCCCATTACTGGGGTTCGGGAGAGGGAGATTTCCGTGGCTTTGCGTCTAGTCCCCGCCGCGAGTTACACGTGCTAGGGACTTTGGGGAGCCTTTGGCATTTGAGGGCTGTGGGGAATCGAGTGGCCTGGGGAGTGCAAGAAAGGCCCCTTCTGGGAGTCAGTGGCCTCAGAAATCGAATTTGGGTACCAAGTACCATGTGGGGCTTCTCTAGGTTCTCTCCAACCTTTTAATCTAGGGGAAGTTCCTTAACGTGTGGCCTGATGTAACTAGTTTTGGGTTGGCACTGTGATAAGGAGGGAAGAGTCTGCTTGGCACGTCTGTAAGTGAGATTTAATCCTTCCAGCAGAGCTTGGGTTTGCGGTGGAAGTACCTTCTCCCCTTCGCTCACTCACCTCCCGTTTTAAAGCTTAGTACCTGTGTCAACCTAGAAGTTGAAGCTTCTAAACCAGTCATCATCCTAACGCAGTTGTTTTGGAATCAAATGGTCTCACGTTTAATTTTGCAGTTTTCCTCAGTTGTACAATGGGAATGATAATATGTGAGAATGTTGTTAGGACCAAATGAGTTAATCAATCAGTGTTAAGCTCCTAGTCCTAATGCTTGGTACAGAGTGAGTGGACACGCAGTATTTGTTGTTAAATCAAAATTTTGCAGGTTTTGGCTGTATGGTGTACAGGGAAACCAAACTACTAAAGCTAGGTGTTATTAAACACATTTCAGTGCATTTATAAGCCAGGTAGTTTGATTTTGAAATTAGGGTGTTGATTGATACTAAAACAGTAAGGTGTCTTTGGTTGCTCTGCTCCTGAAGTCTTCTTTTGTGCATTTGATGTTTGTTGAGAGCTGAGAATTCATGATTTCCAGAGAAGGGTTCTTGGAAACAATGGAGATATATCTGGCATTTTAAAAAGTATTCTCATGAGGAATAATTGGAATTAAAGTGTTGGGTTCTTGGGACCAGCAGTTAGCGTAATGGCTATGTCGCTGGACTCCCACGTAGTAGTCGACCGCGGTTCGAGTCCCGGACCCGGTGGCTTAAACTCATGCCGGGGCGCTCCCCCGCCCAAGTTCCTGAGAGGAGAATGGAGGAGAAGGGATTGCAGTGTGGCCATCCCCTCCTGAGGGGTGATTTCTTGCTTTCTGTCTCTCTGTCTCTGTCTGGCGAGTGCACGCGCCCTATAGCAAAAACCTCTTCAAAAAGTAAATAAATAAATAAAGTGTTGGGTTCTTTATTGTTTAGGAGAGTGACAGTATTGTTGAGCATTCGTTTAGTAAGTTAAGGACACTTGTGTTTTTTGTTTTTTCTTTTTTGCCATAGGGCACATACACTCACCAGAGAGGAGAGAGACAGGCAAAGTGAGAAATCACCCCTCAGGGGAATGACCACACTGTAATCCCTTCCTCCTTCATTCTCTGGGGGTTTTGTGCACACATGCACTGGGGCCTAGTGTGATTTTCAAGCCACTGGGTCCAAGACTCCAACCACAGTTGGAAATTCAGCCACCTTAACCACCTGCTGGTCCCACATGTGATTTCTTAGAAAAACATAAGAATAAAAAGATGTGAGAGTAAACTCCAAACCAGTAGCAGGGGAAATAGTGAAAAAGTAATCATAAATCCAAAGGAAGGAAAGAAACAGAACAGGTAGGATAAATAGGATGCACGGAAGAAGAAAGATTTGAAGCAAATGTATCAATACTTAAATAGATAAAATGAGCTCCAGTTAAAAGATGGAAGAGTTTTTTAAAAATTGAAAAGATAGACTAATTTTAAAAGATGTAGACTACAAGGAGGAGGAGACCATAAGCCACAGTGAAAGAAGACAACGTTTGAATAGTTTGTCTGTCCTTCTGTCTTCCCTCTTCCATTTGAAAGAAAGTACTCTGGGGTTTTTACTCTTATCTGATCACTAACAGCCTTCTGAGGACATTCCAAGACAGTGCGCAGTCCTGTTTTCTACCTGGAAAGCTGTAGAAATAACGTTTCAAAGGAGATACTCTTGGTTTTGGCTGGATGTTCAGATAAACTTTTTAAAGAGAGGAGTTAGAGCTAACCCTGATCTGTAAAGTTTGAATTTATATTGTTTCATCCCATGTACAAAACCATTTTTTCCTTCAAATAGTTTTTTTTTTTTTTTTTTTTTTTTTTTTTTTTTTTTTTTTTTTTTTTTGCGTTTGGGAATTGGAAAGCAGAATATTCTGTCATGATTTTTGCTTTAATGACTTTAGGACAAATTTTAAAAAGTCCTAAACTTAGGACCAGCAGTTGGTGTAATGGCTATGTCGTCCCATGTGGTTGACTGCGGTGTCTTAAACTCATGTCAGCGTGTATGCTTGTGTGCCCAAGATCCGGAGAGGAGAAGGGATTGTGGCATGGCCGTCCCCCCAGGGGGGTGATTTCTTGCTTTCTTTCTCTGTCTTTCTGTTGAGCGCACACACCCGATAGCAAAAAACCTCTCCAAAAAAAAAAAAGTCCTAAATTCAAAAAATATTGTAGATTATGGAAACATCAGAAACAAATAGATTTTAAGGTCAAAGGCACCCCTAAACATAAAGGATGACCAGAAAAATAAGGTACAAATTATATAACTAAAAGAAGAAATAGATTTTAAAAATAGCAATTACATAGGGACTTTGATTAGAATTGATAGTGAAGCCATCAGTATGGAAATAAAAAATTTGAACAACACTGTGAATCAGTCTAGTCTGGTTGTCATAGTGAATCTAGAGAGTCTTGGCATTCAACAAGCATAGGAGACATTTTTTGTTTAAGAAAATTGGCCATCTAAGTTGCAAAGCAAGCCGAATATTTTTTTTTAAAGAGATTTTTGCTATAGGGTACGTGAGCTCGCCAGGGAGACACAAAGCAAGAAATCACTCCCCAGGGGTGTTGGCCACACCACAATCCCTTCTCCTCCATTCTCCCCTCCGGAACTTGGGCACACACACACACTCACCTGGTCTGAGTTTTAAGCTGCTGGGTCTGGGACTACATGGCCAACAATGGTTCGAGTTCTGGACGCAGTGGCTTGAAAATTACAAGAGGGAACCACAGTTTGAGTCCCAGACCTGGCAGTCTACTTTTTCACTTTCCATCTCCTCTCTCTCTCTCTCTTTCTCTCTCTTTCTCTCTCTCTCTGGTCAAATTTTTTTAAAAAGATGATGAATAAAATTAAATAATTCTTTAACTTAAAAAAGACTCTGGGTTTTCTTTGGAATAAAAAAAGAAATTTAGGTAAAGAAAAAATCGAAACCAGTTCAGGCAGATTTAAGTTGGTTTTTATCTCATGGATACAAAATTGACTTAACATTAGAAAAGTTGTAAAAAATTTTTTAAAAATCTTATTCATCTCACTTAATTTTTAAAATTTAATACCAATTTATAAGGAAAGAAATTCTTTAAAAAATATTTTACTTAATTTGATTCCAGAGAGGGAGGGAAAGTGAGAAAGCAAGGTGCCAGGTCCAAGACGTTCAACCACCATGTCACTTGCTGGCTCCCAAAGAAATTCATAGTACATTAGGAAATGAGGTGACTTTGTTTTTAGAAAGATTTTTTGCTGTAGGGTGTATGGGCTCGCCAGAGAGATAGAAAGTGAGAAATCATCCCCCATGGTGATGCCCCCGCTGCAGTCCTTTCTCCTCCATTCTCTTCCCATATCTTTGGCATGCAAGCACACATGCCCAGCATGATTTTGAAGCTGCCTGGTCCAGAACTCAAATCATGGTTGGCTGTATGGAGTCCAGTGATATGACTACTATGTCATCTGCTAGACCTAGGAAGTGAGGTGACTTTAAAAAAAAATTATTTTACTTGACTTTATTTATTTAAATTTGACCATAGAGGGACAGAGTGAGAGAAAGTAAGCCACCAGGTCCAGGACTTGAACCGCACTCGGCCATGTGGGAGTCCAACGTCCTTAACCACCATGCTACCTGCAGGCTACATGAGGTGACTTCTTAACCCAAAGGGCCTAAGAATAAGTCTAAAAAAATATTAAATTTTTACAGAGAAAATTTTAAAAATCACTGTGAGCTAAGTGTATCTATTCTGATGAGTACACATACACTATTTTAGAGGTGTTTTTTTTTTAACAAAATGGGATTGCATAAAATGTATAAATCAGTCTCACAAAGCCAGGAGTGGTAGAGTGTGCCTATAATCCCTTTTACAGTACTGGGAAGGCTGAGGCGGGGATCACAAGTACAAGGCCAGGAGACCTTTCTGCTCTCAGGTTTTTGGTTTTTTGTTTTGTTTTGATTTGATTTGTTTTTGTTGTGAGAGATTTTTGCTATAGGATGTGGGCACCTGCCTGAACAACAGAGAGACAGAGAGTGAGAAATCACCCCCCCGGGGGGATGGCCATGCCACAGTACCTTCTCGATTCTCCTCTTTGGATTTTGGGCACACACACATACTTGCCTGCATGGAGTTTTAAGCCACGTTGTTCAGGACTCAAACTGCAGTCAAGTGATGTTTTTTTTTTGTTTTGTTTGTTTTTTTTTGTTTGTTTGTTTTTGACAAGAGAGGGACAAAGCAAGAGTAAGATGGAAAGAGAGGTTGAGTGAAAGCAAGCTGCCAGGTTCAGGATTAGAACCGTGGTCAGCCATGTGGGAGTCCAGTGTCCTTAACCACCATACCACCTGATGACCCCTAAATAAAGTAATTCTTTTAAAAAAAAAAAAATTTCAGTTTTTTCTAAACAGGAAATAGGCAGATCAGAATTGTAGATAAAAAAGTGTGTGGGACCAGCAGATGGCATAATGGTTAGTTACATTGATGGACTTCCATGTAGTCAACCACAGTTTGATTCCCTGACCAGGTGGCTTAAAACTCATACGGGGTGCGTGTGTGTGTGTGTGTGTGTACCCAAAATCCCAAGAGGAGACTGGAGGAGAAGAGGTTGTGGTGTGGCCATCTCCCCAGGAGGTGATTTGCCTTTCCACATCCTATAGCAAAAATCTCTCTTTTAAAAAAGTGTGATTGAGGGTTGGGGAGCAGGGAATCTGGCCACTATGTCTCTTGGTTTTTAATTAGTATTCTGTAACTTGTCTGGTACAGTGTCTGGTTCAGTCCGACTAATGCTTCATTTCCCCACATAGACTGAGGCTGATGTAAATCCGAAGGCGTATCCTCTGGCAGATGCTCACCTTACCAAGAAACTATTGGACCTCGTTCAGCAATCGTGTAACTACAAGCAACTTCGGAAAGGAGCCAATGAGGGTGAGGTAGCCACACAGTGCTCCAGGGGAGGGTTTTGTTTTAAGAATTATTTTATTTATCATTATTATCATTTTTTTAAAATGTGCTATAGGGCATTTGTGCTCACCAGAGAGACAACAAGGGCAGGGAGATGGAGGAGTGAGAAAGCAAGCCACCAGGTCTGGGACTTAATTACAGTTGGTCATGTGAGAGTCTGGAGACTCAGCCACCATGCCACCTGCTGGCCCCATCTCCAGGGGAGTGTTAAAGGCACCTGTCTCTGTCTGGGACCTCAGTTCTAGATTTCCAGTAGGAAAAAGGGTTGGGTGCTCTTGACTGACCAGTGGGAGGGCTTCAGAACAGCATTCTGGCATTAGATCCTAAAGGCTAATTAAGAAAAAAAAAAAGACTGTGAACTAACTTTGTGACCTCCAGAGCTATCAGAAGGAAAGGGATATTGTGGTTTTTTTGTTGTTGTTTTTTAGCATTTCCAATGCCATGGGGACTTAACATTTGTAAATTTCATTTAGTTTCCAAAAACATTCCTCTATTTCTTTTTGTAACATCTTAGTAGAATAAGTATATATGCCATGATACTTCTCTGTTCAGAGATAAAGCAGAGGGACCCTAGCAGATGGTGTGGTGGTTAAGGGACTGGACTGCCACATGGCCAACCACAGTTTGAGTCCCAGACCTAGCAGCTTGCTTTCTCACTTGCCCTTTCTCGCTCTCTCTGGCAAGCATGCAAGCCCTGTAGTAAATTTTTAAAATAATGATGATAAATAAAATAAAGGGTCCAGCAGGTAGCATGGTGTTTAAGGTTCTGGACTCCCATGTGGCCAGTTGCAGTTCAAGTACTGGAACTGGTGGCTTGCTTTCTCACTTTCCCTTTCTCTGTTTGTCTCTTTTCGATCAAATTTTTAAAAAATAATAATTTTTAATAATAAAATGAATTTTTAAAAGAGGAAACAGAGTGGGACCAGCAGTTGGTGTAATGGCTATGTCGCTGGACTCCCATGTAGTCGACTGCGGTTCAAGTCCCAGACCCGGTGGCTTAAACTCATGCTGGGCATGTGTACATGCCCACCCAAGATCCCAAGAGGAGAATGGAGGAGAAGGGATTTCGGCATGACCATCCCCCCCCTGGGGAGTGATTTCTATCTCTCTGTCTCTCTCTGTCTTTCTGGCGAGCACACGCGCCCTATAGCAAAAACTTCTCCTCCCCCCCCCAAAAAAAGAAAAGAAAAAACAGAGGTAAAGTATAAATAGTCTCCTTTTAGCAGATGGCAAGGAATTACCTGTGGGAAAGCCGTTTTCTCTTCAAAGATATTAACTGAGGGACCAGCAGGTGGCATGGTGGTTAGGTGCACTGGACTCCCACATGGCCGACCACGGTTCGAGTCCTGGACTTGGTGGCTTACTTTCTCTATCTCTCTGTCCCTTCTTGTCAAAAATAAATAAATACATACATAAAGTTAAATAAAATAATTCTTAAAAAAAAAAAGATATTAACTGAAACATCAAGGTTTTTTGTCAGCTATGTTTGTTTTTTGGAGGTTTCCGCTATAGGGCGTGTGCACTCGCCAGCCAGACAGAGAGAGACATAGAGACAGATAGCGAGAAATCACCCCCCAGAGGGGATGGTCATGCCGCAATCCCTTCTCCTCCATTCTCCTCTCGGGATCTTGGGCACGCACGCACACGTGCCCGGCGTGAGTTTTAAGCCACTGGGTCCGGGACACGAACCGCTGTCGACTACGTGGGAGTCCAGCGACATAGCCATTACGCTAACTGCTGGTTCCCTGTCAGCTATGTTTAAAGAAGTCATTAGAGTAACTTTTATCTATGTTGGCCAAAGGCAGACAAAACTTGCTCTCTGTGTACCTGTTATTAGGGTGCTCTTTTCAGCCCTGTTCTTCACAGTGCAGTAACTGCAGGGCCTGGTACAGCTGAGACCTGTAGGAGGGGGGACACCACCTCTCCTGGAGGTCTCTACTCACTTGGTGCACTCAGGTCAGCTTGACTGGGCAGGGAGGTGAGTTCCTATGCTTCATTCCTCTGTGAGAACACAGAAACTAGACATTTTGATTTCTCTTGCTATACCTTGCATGATGCTAGGCCCTGAGGTATGTGGGACAGACAGGGTCTTGAATGGTGTTGTCAGTCTCGTCCTCATACTTCAGTTCAGGATGTGCTTACTAGGAGTACAGGGAGAGAGGGCAACAATGTCTATGCCTCTCCCTTGTTATTAATTGCCTACTATGTGCAGGCACATGTCAGTATGTTAGTAATGCATTGGTGAACAAAAGTAAGTCTGCCTTCTTAGAGCTTCTATTTTAGTGGAAGAAAAGAAAACGTAGCTTATGTGTCTTGTAATGAATGCTACACAGGACAATAAAACTGGATAAGGGGGTAGGAAGTAGCTGTGGAGGGAGCTTTTCAAAAGATGTATTCAGGAAAGGACTTTCCAACAATTGAAGACTGAGCAGAGAACTGAATACAGGAGGGTATTTGGGGAAAACATGTTTAGGCGTAGTGCAAAGGCATACTCAATAGCTTGAGGGGTCCTAAGGAAGCTGTTGTGGCTAGACCTGAGGGGATGAGATCACATGAGCTCTTGTAGGCTATTGTTAGCAATTTATGTTTTTCTCTGAGTTCAATCAAAAAAACATTAGAAAGATTTTGAGGAAGAATGTTTATGATCTTACATAATTTTTTTAGGATTATTTAATTTTATTATTACTATTTTTAATTTGACCAGGGGGAGTCAAAAAGAGAAAAAATAAATGAGAAAGTAAGCCTCCAGGTCTAGGACTTGTGGGAGTCCAGTGCTTTTAAGCACTACACTACCTGCCAGCCCCCATAACGCTTTTATAAGAGTCACTGCATGACTTGTGTGTGGAGGATAAACTAGTAATATTCATAGAAACTAACGTACTTTGCAGTTATATATGCCAGGCACTATTATTATTACCTTGTTTAATCCTTTCAAAAAAAAACCTGTTGGATAGGCTTACTGTGTTGTATCTTTTATAGATGATTTGAAAAGGAAATTAAACATCTTGCCCAGGGTCACATTTCTAATGAAAGTGAGAACTGGATTTGAATTCAGTGTGGTTCTAGAAACTGTGCTCTTGTCCAAAGCTCCAGCATTAATGTAGAATGTGGTCCACACTGACTAGCATTGGGTCACAGAGACAGGCAATCAAGAACGAGCATTTGAGGGACCAGCAGTTAGCGTAATGGCTATGTTGCTGGACTCCCATGTAGTTGACCGTGGTTTGAGTCCTGGACCTGGTGGCTTAAGCTCACGCCGGGAGCATGTCCGTGCGTGCCTGAGATCCCGAGAGGAGAATGGAGGAGAAGGGATTGTGGCGTGGCCATCCCCCCTGGGGGGTGATTTCTCACTTTTTGTCTGTCTGTGTCTTTCTGGCGAGCACATGCACCCTATAATGAAAACCTCTCAAAAAAAAAAAAGAAGAAAAAAAAAAAAGAATGAGCATTTGAAGCAGTGCTGGGGACTGTTGTAGGGCTCACATGGCGAGTCACACAGGGTGAAGTATTGACCGTGGCAGATTGGGACAGTAGAATCCTGATCCTTCGTTAGAGATATTGAGGAGTGCTACACTGCTTCATGCTGGTAGGGACTTGTGTGGAAATTATGACCAGGCAAGAGATGATGGTTACTGACTAGTGGTAGAGAAGATAGTAGTAGTTAGAGTCAGGATGTTTTGCAGACAGTGGTGGGTTTACTGTAGGGTTTGAGAAACAGGTGCTGAGGATGACTGTTTGGTGTTTGAGTCCATAATTATGTCCCAGGGTCACTCCAAGACACAGAATTGCTTGTGCCCAGACTTTCTGCCCAGCTTTCTTGGACCTGTTACTCTTTTCCCTGTGTTGATGTGCCCAGGCCTCACCTTACCTGTTGGCTTCATGTCCTTATCTCCACAGCCACTAAAACCCTCAACAGAGGCATCTCTGAGTTCATTGTGATGGCCGCAGACGCTGAGCCCCTCGAGATCATCCTTCACCTCCCACTGCTGTGTGAAGACAAGAATGTGCCCTATGTGTTCGTGCGCTCCAAACAGGCCCTGGGGCGAGCATGTGGTGTCTCCAGGCCTGTGATTGCCTGTTCCGTCACTATCAAAGAAGGCTCACAGCTGAAGCAGCAAATCCAGTCCATTCAGCAGTCCATTGAAAGGCTCTTGGTCTAAACCTTGCCTCTGCCATGCCCTCCCGACTGACCTGACACTTCTCCCTCTGCCTCTCCCTCTCCCTGAGCTCTTTCTTGTGTACCTATCCTGTGTTTGTAGTATTTTCAACTACTTTCTGTTGTTACAAAATATTACAGTACTAAGTCTGGTTTCTGGGTTTTTGTATTATTTTGTTTTCCAGGATTGTTTTTCTCCATTTCCTGTATACCCTCCACCATCATACATTTATCCTCCCTCTTGAAAAGTGAACTAATGGCCAGAATAGATAGAAGCAGAGTGGCAGCAAAGGCTGGACGAGCCGGGATGGACATCTGGTTCCAGCTTTTATCTACTTGCTTCCTACCGTGTGTGCGTGCTGGGGGGGGGGTATGGTGGAAGCAAATACTATCCACTTTGTCTCGATGTGCCTGGCACACAGAATCATCCTGTACATGCTGAAGTTGAAGTGACCGGGGGTTTCCTTTCCTCTCTAAGGAGTTAGGTATCTATCGGGAAGGAAGTTTGTGTTCTGTGAGGTTGTTAGACTTATGTCCAGGCATCATTTATTAATGTACCCCACCTTTGTGTCTGGTCCTGCGATGTTCTCTTCCATCCCCAGCCCTGGCCCTGAGGTGGCAGAGCAGCAGCATACCAAAGAGAGGTGCTGCAGGATCTCAGAGGCAGCTTGGGCGAAAGCGACGTGTGGCAACTCACCTAGGTCTTGAAAGGGTCAGGAGTGGCAAGGGCAGAGGGTGAACTGACTCTGGAATAAAGGATTCTGGGAAAACATGGAGACCTAGCTGAAAGCTACAACAAAGATATGGAATCCAAGGAAACAATCAGGAATGGACAGTTGGCACCAGCTCTGAGAGCCCTTACCTGTTTCCTGCCAGAGTGTGGATCAGATGTATTCTTTATTACATGAGAAGATTGCCAATGTGTCATTCATTCTTGTGAGCATCATAATAAAGAAATATATTCATATTCCAATTTAAAGGATGATTGTGGCAGTGCTTGATTCTCAGGGAACCAGCTGATACTTAAAGAAATGCTTACTAGTGGTTATAACTTACTAAAATTTTCACCAAGAGAATGTGGAAAAAAAACTCACCTCCTACGGATAGTTCCTGGTTTGGCAGTTTAAAATGTCTTTTGATCAGGGCTAGTAAGTGGTGTTGTGAAGACACTGGAATTCCACGGGGCTAACTGGTTCACATCTTGGACCTAGTGGCATACACATAACCCCAAATCCCAAGGAGACTGTGGCATGGCCATCTCCCCTGGAGGGTGATTTCTTACTTTCCCTCTCTGGGAAGCACATGCATGTGTGGCAAAACCATAAAAACAAGTGTCTTGATCAGTCAGCTATTACTCTAGAACAAACTTTCTCAACCTCAGGACTGCTGAATTTGGGCAGCAGTTTGTTGTAGAAGGCTGCCCTGTGTGGGGGGTTGAATCCTGGACTCTTACCCACTGGATGGTAGTAGCAAACCACCAGGCCAAAAATATCCCCAGGTATTGCCAGGTGTGCCCTGGGAGCAGAATCCCCCCCAGTTGAGAAGTACTGTTACAGATTAGGTTTCCCATAGGCTTCAGTACATGCAGGATTGGTGTTGGTGACTGAATGCCTGCCTGCTACCTCACCTGCCTCGTCTACTTTATATCTAAGGGTAAACACTAAGAGGCTAATACCTCAGCTTGAGAAATTTTCTTCCTAAGTGCAAATACCTGGGTGCCATAATGGTCAAGTTAATGAAGATCATATTTTCCCTTGGCCCACTGGGGCCGGTGTATTCCTGCTATAGCAGTTGCGTGCCTCCTGGGCTGGTCCTTTATCCCAGCTCTACTGTTTACATCACCACCCCCAAGGTATCTATGTATTTGTGGACTGTAGCTTCCGTTAGCATTTACTACTTGTGCTTTTTATTTGAGAGAGTAAGCACAGCAGAGAGATTTCTTTATTTTTTTTTTTTTTTTTTTGGGGGGGTTTTTTTTTTCACTAAAGGGCGCGTGCGCTCGCCAGACAGAGAGAGAGACATAGAGACAGAAAGCAAGAAATCACCCCCCAGGGGGGATGGTCACGCCGCAATCCCTTCTCCTCCATTCTCCTCCCGGGATCTTGGGCATGCACGCACACGCGCCCGGTGTGAGTTTTAAGCCACCAGGTCCGGGACGCGAACCGCGGTCGACTACGTGGGAGTCCAGCGACATAGCCATTACGCTAACTGCTGGTTCCCAGGAGAGAGATTTCTGATCGCATCTCAACAGGTCATGATCTTGAGGCCTCAGCCTCAAGTTAACCAGGACCACAGGCATGGCCACATGTGGCCTGTTTAGTGGGATTGGGTTGAACCCAGTCACTGCCTAGTAGCACCTTCTCATTTGCACCACCACAGCTGGGCCTGGACTCTTTCTTGTATATGTGTCTTTGTAGTAATAATCGAAAGACTGAAATAATTGGCTGTGGGGGAAGAGAACTCAAGGAACCCACCCTTCACTTAAATAGAAACTAGAGCCTACTCATACGTGCTCTAAGAAGTAGGGTGGGATGGGGTACCTGCAGTCTTTGGACTAGTGTCCAGTACTTGGGAGTAACTCAGTTCCCAGTGTTGCACTGTCAGCTTTCAAAGGGCAGAGCATCAGCTTAGCACCTGAAAAACCCCAGTGCTTGTCTACATGCTGCTAACTATGCCTGCCTCTCCCTAGTTCCATCTTTGGTCAGTGTCCCTTATTTTGTTTCTTGAATGTTCCAAACCTCTTAATTTCTCATGTTCTATGAACTTGATCACTTCTTCCAAGGCTTTCCTAGTAACCTGTTTCATGATTCCTTCCCCCCCCCACCCCAGTTCTGTAACATTTGTTTTTATTTTTTCTAAGTTTTTTTTTTTTTTTTTTGAGACTTTTGCTATAGGGCACATGGGCTTATCAGAGAGACAAAAAGGGAGAAATCACCCCCTGGGGGGGATGACCATGCTGCAGTCCCTTCTCCATTCTCTCAGGATTTGGGGCAAGCACACACTTGTGCCCAGTTATGTTTCAAGCTGCTGGGTCTGGGACTTGAACCACACTTGACCACATGGGAGTCCAACTCCTTAACCACTGGGCCACTTACTGGCCCTCTTAAGATTTTAACCATAGGATGTATACACTTGCCAGAGAGAGTCTGAGACAGTGAGAGGGAAAGTGAGAAATAACCACCTCTTCCGGTGGGGGGGGGGCCACACTGCAATCCCTTCTCCATTCTGGCATTTGGGGCACACAGCCAGCATGAGTTTCTATTTTTTTAATTTGAGATATTTTTACCATAGGATGCATGTGCTCACCAGAGAGACAGAAAGCAAGAAGTCACCCCTTGGGATGGCCACACTGTAGTCCCTTCTCCATCTTCTCAGGATTTGGGGCATGCATGTACATGTACCCAGCATGAGTTTTAAGCCGCCAGGTCTGAGACGTGAACTTCAGTCAACTGTGGGAATCCAGCAACATAACTATTACACCATCTGCTGGTCCCTGCACCCGGCATGAGTTTTAAGTTGCCAGGTCTAGGACTTGAACCAGGTAAAAGTCCAGAGCCCCAGCCACAATGCCACCTGCTGGCCCTAACATTGCTGGTTCTTTAACTGGAACTTGACTGATCTGAGATTGTTTTCTGATTGGTGTCTTTAGTAGATAATGGGAACTTGTCCAGTGCCTGAGGCCGAAGCACAGATATACCAGAAGTGTAGAATGAATCATCCTTAAGATATACAAGAGGAAATCTATCCAGCCACATATGAAACTGCTTACAAAAGTTTGTGTATAGATAGGCATTTTGCACAGACAGTGCATGGCTTTCTTCAAGTATCATAGGGTCTTTGACTTGGATTTGAATTGCAGTCAGCCTTGTGGGACCCCAGGGAATATTTTTACATTTACAATATTGACCTAAAGGAATTACCCATTTGTTGTATTGTTTAATACCAAACTGTTAAAAAGAAAAATAAACTAGCCAACATCATAGAGGAGAGTTTTAACTGAGCAAATTTTATCACAATCTAAATCGGGCAGTTGTCCCCAGGTTTATGGACAACTCCTGCCAGCCTCATGGTCCATTCAGTATTTAAGTTCCAGAAAAGGGAGAATGACATAAAAAAACCAAGGTGAAGGAATGAGGTAGAGAAATAATTGGATTGGTTATAGGTGTATGGTAGACTGCAAAAACAGCCCAAACAGTGAGTTTTCTGAGATTGAAGTGTGGCCAATGTGATTGACTGTAACTTAGCAACCAGCTCAGGAAAACAGCCTAACAACATATATGATTTTGGCTTATCCGTAGGAATCAACTGTGAGAGTACAGTGGCCGTTTTAGGCCAAAATAGTTTAAACAGGACATTTCCATATTTTTAATCTCAAACTGATATGATGGAGAAAGGAGGAAGGAACCTCTTCTAGGGACTAAGTATGCCTTGGTCTCCTTAGTCCCTAGAACAGGCAGGATCACTGGCCCACACAGGTGTGCTTAGTGTGTTCAGGTCAACCAGGGTCTGAACTCAGGTCTTCCACGTGGCTTCAGTACTGGGCAGTGGTGCTCTGCCACATGACTGCTTCCACAGGTGGGCTGCATTTTGCTTGTTTTATGAGATAGGTTTTTTTTTTTTTTTGGAGAGATTTTCACTGTAGGGCGCATGTGCTCGCCAGACAGACAGAGAGAGACATAGAGACAGAAAGCGAGAAATCACCCCCCAGGGGGGATAGTCACGCAGCAATCCCTTCTCCTCCATTCTCCTCTCGGGATCTTGGGCACGCACGCACACGCGCCCGGCGTGAGTTTTAAGCCACCGGGTCCGGGACACGAACCGCGGTCGACTACGTGGGAGTCCAGCGACATAGCCATTACGCTAACTGCTGGTTCCTGAGATAGGTATTTTTGTCACATCATGATCCTCCTGCCCCAGGATCCCAGTTAGCTAGGACCACAGGTGTATGTTACCACACCCAGTCGGTTTAGGTTGATCCATGGTTACATTTTGAAAAATCAGGTTTGTGCCTCTGGCTTTTTATCTGCTTGGAGGTAGAGTGATGAGGAGAGGATAATTATTCTCTAATAAAAACATTTAAAGTACCAAGTCCATAACCTCCATGATGCCCTGCGGCAGGCAGCCTTAATGGCCCATGATCCTCTTCTGCTGGGA